TGAAAGAAAAAACAGGATGATTCTAGTCCTACTTCATTGTGTTGTTGGGCAGATGAAATGAGATTGTGTATATAAAACACTTGGTGCTCAGCACATGTTGAGCAGCACTAGTAGTTGTAGAAGTAATAGTTGTTGCTCTTATTTGTTTTTCTTGTTTCCATCTCCGCATCCTTATTCTTTACTCTGTATGGAATGCACTGTAGTTCTTGCCCATTGTACCTGACTGTATTTTATTTATCTTCAAAGACATTCCCTGGTTCTTGTCACTTTCTTTGTACTATTTAAATCTTTCCTCTTCATCATTCCTTAAGTCACACTAACCAATAGGCCTCTTTCCAAGGAATTTGGTCTTGTACCTTTAAGATCTTTTGCCAACTCTCTATAAATCATTGATACATTTTGAGAAAATTTTAATTTTGTTATGAAAATGCCATTGTTGGGTTCAAAGAGGCTAATTAAAGAAAAGATACAGTATTATAGCAGAAGATAATAGCAAAAACAAAAATTGCCCAAGTGACACAGCTTTGGATTTGGCAAAAATATTGCTTTTTCCCCTGCACTACCTCTTATTTGTTACTTTCCAAATACATTCTCCACCTGGTAGTGCCTAGCATGTTGCCAAATAGAACTACAGTCTACAGTAAGCATTTTGGGTAGCACTGGATCTAAAAATCAATTTTACTGAAGTAAAAATAGCATTCATAGCATAATGTATTAAAATGTGGTTGGATGTCTAGTTCAGTTGTTAAAATGAGAACTTGTCCTTCAAGGAGTATCACCTTTTTGTGTGCAGATAAAGTTTTCTTGATAAGCGTTCTCAAAATGCAAGCTACAGGTCTTGGAAAGCAGGCAGGGCATAAATAGGGAAATTGCCCGTTAGAATTTCTTTCCCACAGTGATTTGGCACAGTGCCAGCGATCCTTCTGTGCAGCATGTACTTTGTCCTTGTTAAAGAAGGTTTATCATTTGCTTTTGTGCCTTTAAAAATAAAAATAGACCAATATTCAGTTTTTAATTATTAATTCATAAATAGCATTATAAAGAGTACTCTAAGGCAAAAGAAAGTGTTAGAAACTTCAATATTGAATTTATATAGACTTATTATTCATTTGTTAAATAGATGTTCATCAACACATGAAAATGGTAATATCTTTCTGTTGAAGAATGGCCATACCTTACTTGAGTGTATAAAGCTAAGGATTTTTAGTTACAGTACAAAATACTATTTGTGTTTTTGGGGGTTTTTTTGGTACTGGGGATCGAACTCAGGACCTTGTGCTTGCGAGGCAGGTGCCAGAACCAGTGAGCTAAAACCCCAGCCCCTATTTTGTTTTTTTAAGTTAAATTTGTTTCATATACTTTAAAGGTGTGATTCGTATAATCTATTCAGTTTTAGTTGGCTTTATTCTTGAGGCCTATATGGAGGATTT